GAGTATGTAATATTTCTTCGTAAGGAATAAAATGGTCTTTTTGTCCAATTGATAAAGAATGTAATAGGTCGTCAAGTATTTCGAAGTAGAAGCCCCACGCATTCTGCTATTATTGGAGGTTACCATGTTTATCTGGGAGTATTCCAAACGGTAAACTTCAACCAGAACAAGATATTTGCCTTGCCAGTGGAGCGACGGAAGATTCTGCCCTGCACAGTTGGCTCCTTGTCTATGGGAATTGCTCAAGAAAAACTGAAATATCAGATATCTCAAATTAGGTTCATTTAACTCTCCAGTGGACGATGTGTTCTCGTTTGCTTTCCTGTACAAAAGAAAACTCTCAAAATCAAATAAACAGTGCTGTTTTCATAAAGGAAACTACTCACAAGGTTGCTGAAAACCCTTCGACAGCCCACGAGCGGTTTCATTCTTCTTGGGGTTCATCAGGTAGGCACAGTTCCCGAGTTTCGGTCAACCTTATGTTCCACCTGAACCCAAATTGGACTAATCTCGACAAATGCACTCATTTGCAGATCAGTTTGGCTCTCACGGGGGACTCAACTGAATCTCTCGTTTATGGTACTGTTTATTAAATTTTTAACTAAACCCATATTATTTAGTTGATTTCATGAAAAACTGAGATGTGTCGTCAAATCGCAAATGAGTCGCCGGCGAATTGAGAAATTACCATGAGTGATGAAAATCTTGAATTATTGAGGGACCCCTAAAACTAGTTCCATCTATTGACATATTTGCTGTCTTCCGGGTTCCTGAATCGACAAGTTTGCTGAACTCTTGGAAAACAATTTTCGGAAAAACGGCAAGCAGAGGGGCATTTCAAGAAAATTAACAGAAAATGCCTCGCAATGCATAAACAAGTTTTTGGGCAATTCGAGATTGTACAAAAAACGTTTCCAAAGAAAACAGCTGATTTATAAATAAAACCGTAAATGTAATCTGAACATACGCAATGAGAAATCTGTTATAGAAGCAGGCAAATTAAAAACAGGTAATATCAGCTTACCGTATGAGTTATCAAACTGAAAGATCCTATGGACTAAACTACTCTCTTTGATAGTATTGAGCGGTTTGGAATTTCTTTATTTGGGATTTTGTTCCATAAGCGAAAAGCCAAGAAACGCCACACAACTGTCTTTTTCTGCCTAGGTACTAGTTAATCGCACTTCCAGTCATCTGCTTGCGGCGGAACGCGAAGGAGTTCCAAGCTCTAGTCAAGAGGTCGTTGATTCGACACTTCGTGGAGTCCTGGGAGTTTCGAACAGCTGGTGATTCCAAACATGTATAAAACAACCGTACAGTGCTTCCCAGAGTTTCAGTAGCGATTACGTTTAATTACAGGATGAAAGCTCAATGGAAAGCAAGTGCTATTCAACGTTGATGAGCACACATGTCATATATTATGCGACTTACTAACCACTTCTCAAAAACGGTCTTTTCCTGCAGCAGTTCTTTAGATTTAGAACTCCGCAAGCGCTTTGAGAGGCTCATCATTCCTGGCTAGTCCCTGGCTAATTTCATTGTTGTCTGACACAGCATATCTGTACGATGGTCAGTTGTATGCTGCAATACCAAGTCTATCTTACTTCACCGCCTTATAGAAGTTCAGTTTTTCGTAGAGAAGAGTATCCATAAGTAGGTCATGCTGCCATCCGTTGTAAAGTTACAAAATATATAAGTTACAATATAGGTCATACAATGCAATTCTGTTCCAGCAAATAATAGCATTTGTACGTGAGCACTTCTGTGCCGACATACGAGGCTAGTTTTTCAAAGTAATTCAGTTATTCAGTAATTGGGATTTGAGATTGATGTAAATACAACACCATTGTTTTATTTTGGTAACCGTGCAATGCGTTTTGACCGATGGAACCCGGCCTTTTTTACAGCCGAGACAATCAGCATCACCCGCACAATGTGAAACTGTTATATAGCGATACACGCTATAAAGAATACTAGTTGGAATAAATTCTGGCTCAAGTTTAGGTGGGACCAGTTTTTTTAAGTTTTGTCACCCGATACTATCAACTATTCCGGCAGTTTGCAAAGACAACCTAGAATGACCTCGAAGCAGCACCCTTATCTTGTATTCAGTGATACACACACGTTTTTATTTCACTTGTGGTTACGTGTCGCTCCGGCTATAAAAAGTCATAATAAAGTGGCAGTTACCTAGGCAACGGTCGGCCAAAGAAGGACATTAGGTAGACAATTGGCAGCTATCGTTATGGGCCATTGTGAAACGTTCTGAGTTGCGAAAGGAGTGTCAACATACATCAGAATTCCGCTTCTGACAAGACCCAAATGAAGTGCCTCCGACTCTGCTTGCTTTTTGATTGGTTTGTTAGAGCGAAGTTCGACGGTTATTATGTAATTAAGCTAAATATTGGTCGTTCTGATTAATCGAACTCCTTCTAGGCGTACCCTTTCTGGGTATTCTCTTGTCTGTTTTGTGGACTTAACTGGGTAATTGCGCAGGCATGTGGATAGTGAAAAAATGCGTGGCCTTATCGCGGTACATTGAAATGACAAGCACAGCTCTCCACTGGAGATCATGATGATATTCCTGAACCTGCAAAATTATCACCGATTATTACAGAGAGATCTTCCGTTATAAGATGTCTAAGCCACACACACACACCTTTACTAGAAAGACTGTTCTAGAACAGTTGCGATCAGTAACACAACTATGAGTCCGAAACAAACGAAAAGATACGTCGCCTGGAAAAAGCATCATGTGCAAATTTTGTCGCAGGAGGATCAGAACAACCGCAGAACAGAACAAACCGATTTTAGACTTCAGGCAAAAGCCGACAAATGAGCTAGTGGCTGGAGTCATTGGAGGGGTCAATTTTGGCTTGTGAATGCTAACCTCACGCCCACTATGTATCCCTTATTCTGTAGATGCTATAAAGTTGTATTAGTCAGACCGTATGACTGTACGTTGTGAAAACTTGCCAGAATCTTTTTCAGAATTCTTCTTGGCTAGCTGTTTTGTTGTTTCCTTCATAGAAACAAGCAACTTCTCAAACACATCAGAGTAGTTTGTATGCGAAGCATCTATTCATCTCCTATTTTGTTGGGGGCTAGATCACAAAGATTACCGCATGGTTCTTTATGGTTCTTTCTGGTTTATCTTTGAAAGATCACAAAAACGTATGTTTGGTGGGCATTTTCTTCATACCGGTTTTATGGAACTTTACCATAAAATGATCTATATGTTCTTTTGTTCTAAACCGGTTAATCAGGAGTCCAATCTCTGCGACTGATTTATCTCCTCAACAAACCTTTTGCATCAAACATTTTCCAAGTTTCATTCGACTTCTAGTAGGATGGTTCTAGAAAATTCTATGTTGTAACTGGTCCATATACTCCTGGGGCGTGTATTGTATTCTATGTCTGTCGTGTATTAGAACTGAAATCTTTCTACCTCCCGAGTAAATAAAATCTGCACCAGGATATTGGTTAAACTGTCTGGAATGGCTTTCGACGAGTCAGGTACACTGATCACATCTCTCAAGTGTGAACACGTTCGCCCGTTCAGACGTGAAAATCTCAGATGCGTCCAACGTGGATTGGTGGAGTAGTGGTTACACATGTCAGATGTCCGGGGTTCAAATCCCGGCACGGCCATTGCACTGCCGATGAGCTCTAATGAGTGTGAAACTCGAATCCAGTGCTTCCCCCCCTTTGGTATGGACTCACCGGAATAATTACGCCAGAACATGAACACGGCCGTTCAAACGAGAGGTGGTGTGGCATGAACAAAATTTGTGAAATCCTCGTATATGATAAGTGCGTCACCACCGATGTGTGGTAAAAAAACCACGTTCACTCGCATGGTGCTCTAAGTTGTAAGTATGAACAACCACCAAGAACTGTAACAAGGACAGTCGTCACTTGCTCCCTTGTTTGTCTGTTTGAACCTTACCTTTGTGAACGACAGTGGGACTTCCAGAGCATAATATTGCGTGTATTCTTTCGATTAACACTGAGGTATTCCGACAACTACCCAACATCCCTCAGTGTGTGAGACATCTTTGTGAGTTGTTCCTTCACCAGGTAGCACTTACGTAGTAGGATTTCTTATATGGAGGATTCCACATACGTTTGTTCTTTTGAGTGCTTCTGAAATGACGGCAGCCAGCATTATGACGAGTCCACACCTACAGTCACTCACCAAAAAATCGTGAGCGAAAATGACATGAAGAACTCCACTGGCATCAATTATCAGCCGTATATTGTAGCGCCCCCAGGTATTCCCAGGGATCACGTGCACGCCACCTTGTAGGACGAGTCGTACGGCGACCATCACTGCGCGCTGAACGGTAAGATCTTCTGCTGACGCTTGAGCAATAAAACTATAAATTATATCTTGGTGTCTTCCCAACGACCGATGGCATGCCTTGCAGTCGGTGAGAACGGTATTCTGTCTTGGCTCTAAACTCCAGTTGATCCTTCAGTCAGCTCATTTGAATAAAAAGGGATGTTTTCCGAGACGCCCAAACATAAGATTTGGTCTGTTTTCTGGGTGTAGTTTTTACGGCAACTGCACGTGAATTTGTAGGCAACGCATAAGGCCGGAACTTTATGCGAGTTATGCATTCGATTCCGCAAGTTGATCTGTTTCGTAGCAGAAAGTAAGCCACTGCGAAGCTGAGCAAATGAGGCTATTCGTAGCAAGCAGTTAGAACTCATTGGACATTTCTATTGTTTCTGCTATGTTGTTCCTCTATGTTGTTTTCGTTGTATGCTGTGGAAGGCCATAAATTCTGTTGGCTAACCGCTGGATGACAATGACTCAGTGCAAAGTTGACCTGCTTATTTCAGGTCTTCTCTACATTAAGGGGCGATTTTATCTATTGGTTTCAATATATAGTGTGGTAAAAAAAACACTTAGAGTTTTGGACCCAAAAACGTGTTTATTCGTCTGAAAATTTTTTCTCTGTTAACCGTGGATTTCTCTACCTCTTCTGTCACAGGTTACGCAATACGTTCCAAATTGGATGGTCTCTTGGGCAATCCGACATTGCTAACGCAGGTGGCAAGTGACGTGTTCGTGTTGAATACCAAAAGTGAACCGGAAAAATCAGCGGTAGACGTGAGCCCGCCAAATGAACGGCCATTTCCCGGTCATCCTTATCCGGTCGACCCAGCCGATGTATGCTTGGAATATGCCTTGCTAGCAATCGGATTTTGCGTGTTGACAGTCAGATACGCAGGTCCTTTCTATTTTGCCAGCCGTCCGTTTGCACTGCTGTTTTCCGCATACACCGCAACTAGCGGCCTGTTTCTGCTAATCGATTCAGCAACTATGGACGTGTTGTACAAACTTGCCGTTGTTGGGGTCCGTGAACCTGGAGGAGCTATCCTACTTGATCTTGGGGAAGTGGACAAAACATTCTCTCCATTCTACTGCTTGATTCTGAGTGCATCAGCTTGGCCTGTCATTCTTATTAATCTGATGGCAGTCTATGCTTACGGTGAATCCCAGTTTGACCGAGCCATATCAAATTATAGCCAGTTGTTGACCTCCGGTGATCTGCCGGTTCCATGTACGTATCGCCCCGGGACCATTAGCAAACCAAACTGCAATGGAACGATTGCTGTCGCCGACTGTTTGACGAATAACGCGCAGGATTTGACCAACATATCTTTTGGAACAGACAACCATCTGATTGACGTCCAAGGAGAAGGAAATTCTCATGAAACGATCCATGGACTCCCAATAACTCTTGCAGTCACAACGAAACTCTGGCGCCCACCACCACCGCCAACATCTGGACGAGCTTCTCGTATGGCGAAACGAATAAACACACCCATTCCCGGACAGTACACCTCAAACGGAAGTGAAGCGTCTGGTACAATCAAGCGCAATCATGCACAGCTCAATGGAACCGGGAGTGCGGATCTCACGGAATCCGTACACACGCTAACAGAGCTCAGTGGCCCCGGTAAAACCACGTCCGCCAGACGATCCTACTTTGCTCTGTTGTTAGTTGCAGCTTGCTGTTTCTCTTGGTTGCTTGTAAGCCGCATCTGCCTGGCTGGACCAATCCTCAGATGTTATTGGAAGACCGGCCTGTCAATCACCCTGACAAATATTCTTATGACGGCATTCTATCTGATTTGCTGGCTCCTTGTGTGGTTTGGCCTCGGTGTAAAGAATGCATGGCGATTTCGTCTGTTGCATACAGTACATCCAGGTCTCGAAATATCAAATCGGTTTGAAACCAACAGAAAAGATACTAGTGCGTTCTCTTACCCCCAAGAAGGAACTCTATTACCGATACCTACGGGGTACCCTACAATTTGGCCATATGTTACCTACGCACCCTGGCTGACGAATGGTAGCCACAACAACATGACGGGAGGTTTACCAGTGTCAAATCCCAATGAAGAAAACACGCCGATCGCCAATGGTAACATGAATATCATTCCTGAGACAGGTAGTGGGGGTGACTCTCTCTACGGCTGCTTCGCTGATGTCAATCATCCCACAGAGCCAGGATCGATGGTGGGCGGAGACCAGTTTCATGGACAGATGCCTGGGATTGGCTTACGCGTTGGCCCACCAACACTCTCAGATGAATCAGATGGCGTCCCAGCTCCCACTGAAAGGCCTAGAACAGATTTAGGCTATGTTCAAACCCTTGCAGCCTCTGAAAGTTTTCCCGTAGGGCTGACGAAATCCAAAAGCTTTCAGCTTTCGTCCCAACGCTCCTTTAGTCCCAACCCGTTCAATATTCCTGGTGATGTGAGCTCCCGTGAAACATCACCCGTGGAAATGATGAATATGTATACCAACGGTTCTAGAATAAAAAGCCAGAGGATTTCTGCGGCACAGAATATGCTCTTGAAATCAAATAATAGACATGCAGATGGCTTGGAACCGACCTATGCAACATTAGCCTCGCTTTCGAGACCAGTTAGGCCGCCATCGATCAGTTCGCAGCTTCCTGACTCAAGGGAAATCTCACCCCCTGTGCCACTGAATCGTAACCTTTCGTGTCGTAGGAATGGCTCCCGGGTTACATTTAAAGAAAACGAGAGTGATAACTACAGAAACCAGCCAGATGCTGCAACCGGCAGTAGTGACAGTGGAGTGTATACAAACGGTCATGGAGGTGGACCACCAATGAGTGAACGTCAACCACGATGTGGGCGTCTCAAACCCGAGTCCTTGGCACCGTTTGCAAACCGTTCGATTATGGGGGCAAGGGGAAATTCCGTCACCCCTACAGAACATGGTTTTTACGGGGCAAAAGATCACCGCATGTTGGAGGTGGAAATGCACGGCGATGGGAACCAGTCTCCTTATATGGTCAACGGGCAGACTACACTATCTTCATCCAACGATCAACTGTGCAGCCAAGTCTAACTGGCGTGCACAACACCAAACTCGCCCACCGGCATCTCATAATTGTTTTCCAAATTGCATTTTCAGAAACGTACGGGCCACACATCGAACTATACCTATGAAACTGTACATAACTTATTCGCTGTCCTAATTCCTGTGCATCTACTCATTCCATGTTGTAAGTGGAGACGCCATAATTACCCACCAGCTTCTTGTAGAAACCTGATGAAATTTCGCTGAAACTTCATTCCCTTGATTATGAGACCGCATGAATCGAACCCGTTGGACGTTTTGTACACTCTTTTGGGCGGTTCAAACCCGCCTCATCACCTACTTCTATTCTGCTCCCCGCCCTCTGACCATGTCCATAAAATACACGTACAGACATAAGGGCTTTCCCCTGTAGGGATCTCCTACTGTGGATCAAATTATGTCGTTTTTTTAACATGATGTAAGTATGCAACTTCCCATGATGCACACATTGCCTCATCACACACTCTGTTATCACACTCTGTTTCCTGGTAGGGTGCGCCCAAGACTTTCAGGTAGATGTGGGAATATCGATCCGTCGACTTGAAATTTTCAAATGACACGAACGTACGAAGTAGTGAAATTGTTCGGAGACGAGTTAGATTAAACTCACCCAATTTTCTTCATTTCCAAACTGGTTTAAAAAAAGAGTGGATGGCTACGCTGAAGGCAATCTTGTGAGGTAGATTGCCGTCTTCAGACGGCTAGCTGCTACACTGAATGACCGAGACCGAATTAGAGCATGCGAAAAGCGTTATAAATAACCAATCGATGTCCCATAGTTTAAAAGTAATTATTAGATAAGGCAACAGGAATATGGAAAGTAAGAGCCTATTGGGATCGGCTTCATATGTAGTCAGTCGGGTAAAAAAGCCGCGGATAGTGTGGAGAGAACGACTTTATCTGTTTTCATAAAGGAGACTACTCACAAGCCTTTAGGAAGCCCACGAAACAAGTGAATCCCCCGTTTATGATGTCCTTCAACTAAATGTGCAGTACAAAAGCCGCTTCATATTTCATTTGGTACGATAATCGAGATATCGCAGTATAGTCCTTCAACGTGCAGTACAAAAGCCGCTTCATATTTCATTTGGTACGATAATCGAGATATCGCAGTATCTTTTCATAAAGGAAACTACTCTACTCGTTGCTGAAAACTCCTCGACAGCCCGCGACCGGTTTCGCCCTTTCTTGGGGCTCAACGAATAGGCGCAGTCCCCGAGTTTTCAGCAGCCTAGTAAGTAGTCCAAAACATTATTGTGCTGCTTCCTAGAACGTGTAAACCGATGGCATTTTGTTTTGTATCAAGTGAAATAGTCATGATCTGTGAACAAACTGCAGATACCAAAAATGAGTCGATTTTTAATAAAATAAGGGTAACAATTAGTAGCAGAGGAGCGGTGTTTGCATTTTCCACCGCAACACCCGAGTGATTTATCAGATGTGAAGTGGTGGAAAACCCAAAGAAATAATTTCGTGTACGGCCCAAGAACTGTAACAAGGACAGTCGTCACTTGCTCCCTTGTTTGTCTGTTTGAACCTTACCTTTGTGAACGACAGTGGGACTTCCAGAGCATAATATTGCGTGTATTCTTTCGATTAACACTGAGGTATTCCGACAACTACCCAACATCCCTCAGTGTGTGAGACATCTTTGTGAGTTGTTCCTTCACCAGGTAGCACTTACGTAGTAGGATTTCTTATATGGAGGATTCCACATACGTTTGTTCTTTTGAGTGCTTCTGAAATGACGGCAGCCAGCATTATGACGAGTCCACACCTACAGTCACTCACCAAAAAATCGTGAGCGAAAATGACATGAAGAACTCCACTAGCATCAATTATCAGCCGTATATTGCAGCTCCTCAAGGTATTCCCAGGGATCACGTGCACGCCACCTTGTAGGACGAGTCGTACGGCGACCATCACTGCGCGCTGAACGGTAAGATCTTCTGCTGACGCTTGAGCAATAAAACTATAAATTATATCTTGGTGTCTTCCCAACGACCGATGGCATGCCTTGCAGTCGGTGAGAACGGTATTCTGTCTTGGCTCTAAACTCCAGTTGATCCTTCAGTCAGCTCATTTGAATAAAAAGGGATGTTTTCCGAGACGCCCAAACATAAGATTTGGTCTGTTTTCTGGGTGTAGTTTTTACGGCAACTGCACGTGAATTTGTAGGCAACGCATAAGGCCGGAACTTTATGCGAGTTATGCATTCGATTCCGCAAGTTGATCTGTTTCGTAGCAGAAAGTAAGCCACTGCGAAGCTGAGCAAATGAGGCTATTCGTAGCAAGCAGTTAGAACTCATTGGACATTTCTATTGTTTCTGCTATGTTGTTCCTCTATGTTGTTTTCGTTGTATGCTGTGGAAGGCCATAAATTCTGTTGGCTAACCGCTGGATGACAATGACTCAGTGCAAAGTTGACCTGCTTATTTCAGGTCTTCTTTACATTAAGGGTTGATTTTATCTATTGGTTTTAATATATAGTGTGGTAAAAAAACACATTGAGTTTTGGATCCAAAAACGTGTTTATTCGTCTGAAAATTTTTTCTCTGTTAACCGTGGATTTCTCTACCTCTTCTGTCACAGGTTACGCAATACGTTCCAAATTGGATGGTCTCTTGGGCAATCCGACATTGCTAACGCAGGTGGCAAGTGACGTGTTCGTGTTGAATACCAAAAGTGAACCGGAAAAATCAGCGGTAGACGTGAGCCCGCCAAATGAACGGCCATTTCCCGGTCATCCTTATCCGGTCGACCCAGCCGATGTATGCTTGGAATATGCCTTGCTAGCAATCGGATTTTGCGTGTTGACAGTCAGATACGCAGGTCCTTTCTATTTTGCCAGCCGTCCGTTTGCACTGCTGTTTTCCGCATACACCGCAACTAGCGGCCTGTTTCTGCTAATCGATTCAGCAACTATGGACGTGTTGTACAAACTTGCCGTTGTTGGGGTCCGTGAACCTGGAGGAGCTATCCTACTTGATCTTGGGGAAGTGGACAAAACATTCTCTCCATTCTACTGCTTGATTCTGAGTGCATCAGCTTGGCCTGTCATTCTTATTAATCTGATGGCAGTCTATGCTTACGGTGAATCCCAGTTTGACCGAGCCATATCAAATTATAGCCAGTTGTTGACCTCCGGTGATCTGCCGGTTCCATGTACGTATCGCCCCGGGACCATTAGCAAACCAAACTGCAATGGAACGATTGCTGTCGCCGACTGTTTGACGAATAACGCGCAGGATTTGACCAACATATCTTTTGGAACAGACAACCATCTGATTGACGTCCAAGGAGAAGGAAATTCTCATGAAACGATCCATGGACTCCCAATAACTCTTGCAGTCACAACGAAACTCTGGCGCCCACCACCACCGCCAACATCTGGACGAGCTTCTCGTATGGCGAAACGAATAAACACACCCATTCCCGGACAGTACACCTCAAACGGAAGTGAAGCGTCTGGTACAATCAAGCGCAATCATGCACAGCTCAATGGAACCGGGAGTGCGGATCTCACGGAATCCGTACACACGCTAACAGAGCTCAGTGGCCCCGGTAAAACCACGTCCGCCAGACGATCCTACTTTGCTCTGTTGTTAGTTGCAGCTTGCTGTTTCTCTTGGTTGCTTGTAAGCCGCATCTGCCTGGCTGGACCAATCCTCAGATGTTATTGGAAGACCGGCCTGTCAATCACCCTGACAAATATTCTTATGACGGCATTCTATCTGATTTGCTGGCTCCTTGTGTGGTTTGGCCTCGGTGTAAAGAATGCATGGCGATTTCGTCTGTTGCATACAGTACATCCAGGTCTCGAAATATCAAATCGGTTTGAAACCAACAGAAAAGATACTAGTGCGTTCTCTTACCCCCAAGAAGGAACTCTATTACCGATACCTACGGGGTACCCTACAATTTGGCCATATGTTACCTACGCACCCTGGCTGACGAATGGTAGCCACAACAACATGACGGGAGGTTTACCAGTGTCAAATCCCAATGAAGAAAACACGCCGATCGCCAATGGTAACATGAATATCATTCCTGAGACAGGTAGTGGGGGTGACTCTCTCTACGGCTGCTTCGCTGATGTCAATCATCCCACAGAGCCAGGATCGATGGTGGGCGGAGACCAGTTTCATGGACAGATGCCTGGGATTGGCTTACGCGTTGGCCCACCAACACTCTCAGATGAATCAGATGGCGTCCCAGCTCCCACTGAAAGGCCTAGAACAGATTTAGGCTATGTTCAAACCCTTGCAGCCTCTGAAAGTTTTCCCGTAGGGCTGACGAAATCCAAAAGCTTTCAGCTTTCGTCCCAACGCTCCTTTAGTCCCAACCCGTTCAATATTCCTGGTGATGTGAGCTCCCGTGAAACATCACCCGTGGAAATGATGAATATGTATACCAACGGTTCTAGAATAAAAAGCCAGAGGATTTCTGCGGCACAGAATATGCTCTTGAAATCAAATAATAGACATGCAGATGGCTTGGAACCGACCTATGCAACATTAGCCTCGCTTTCGAAACCAGTTAGGCCGCCATCGATCAGTTCGCAGCTTCCTGACTCAAGGGAAATCTCACCCCCTGTGCCACTGAATCGTAACCTTTCGTGTCGTAGGAATGGCTCCCGGGTTACATTTAAAGAAAACGAGAGTGATAACTACAGAAACCAGCCAGATGCTGCAACCGGCAGTAGTGACAGTGGAGTGTATACAAACGGTCATGGAGGTGGACCACCAATGAGTGAACGTCAACCACGATGTGGGCGTCTCAAACCCGAGTCCTTGGCACCGTTTGCAAACCGTTCGATTATGGGGGCAAGGGGAAATTCCGTCACCCCTACAGAACATGGTTTTTACGGGGCAAAAGATCACCGCATGTTGGAGGTGGAAATGCACGGCGATGGGAACCAGTCTCCTTATATGGTCAACGGGCAGACTACACTATCTTCATCCAACGATCAACTGTGCAGCCAAGTCTAACTGGCGTGCACAACACCAAACTCGCCCACCGGCATCTCATAATTGTTTTCCAAATTGCATTTTCAGAAACGTACGGGCCACACATCGAACTATACCTATGAAACTGTACATAACTTATTCGCTGTCCTAATTCCTGTGCATCTACTCATTCCATGTTGTAAGTGGAGACGCCATAATTACCCACCAGCTTCTTGTAGAAACCTGATGAAATTTCGCTGAAACTTCATTCCCTTGATTATGAGACCGCATGAATCGAACCCGTTGGACGTTTTGTACACTCTTTTGGGCGGTTCAAACCCGCCTCATCACCTACTTCTATTCTGCTCCCCGCCCTCTGACCATGTCCATAAAATACACGTACAGACATAAGGGCTTTCCCCTGTAGGGATCTCCTACTGTGGATCAAATTATGTCGTTTTTTTAACATGATGTAAGTATGCAACTTCCCATGATGCACACATTGCCTCATCACACACTCTGTTATCACACTCTGTTTCCTGGTAGGGTGCGCCCAAGACTTTCAGGTAGATGTGGGAATATCGATCCGTCGACTTGAAATTTTCAAATGACACGAACGTACGAAGTAGTGAAATTGTTCGGAGACGAGTTAGATTAAACTCACCCAATTTTCTTCATTTCCAAACTGGTTTAAAAAAAGAGTGGATGGCTACGCTGAAGGCAATCTTGTGAGGTAGATTGCCGTCTTCAGACGGCTAGCTGCTACACTGAATGACCGAGACCGAATTAGAGCATGCGAAAAGCGTTATAAATAACCAATCGATGTCCCATAGTTTAAAAGTAATTATTAGATAAGGCAACAGGAATATGGAAAGTAAGAGCCTATTGGGATCGGCTTCATATGTAGTCAGTCGGGTAAAAAAGCCGCGGATAGTGTGGAGAGAACGACTTTATCTGTTTTCATAAAGGAGACTACTCACAAGCCTTTAGGAAGCCCACGAAACAAGTGAATCCCCCGTTTATGATGTCCTTCAACTAAATGTGCAGTACAAAAGCCGCTTCATATTTCATTTGGTACGATAATCGAGATATCGCAGTATATTTTCATAAAGGAAACTACTCACAAGTTTGCTGAAAGCTCTTCAACAGCACACGACCGGTTGCGCCATTATTGGGGCTCATCAGATAGGCGCAGCCCCCGAGTTTGCGTCAAGCTTATGTTTCACTTGAACCAAAAATTCCTTAAAAACATAATAAACGAAAGATTCAACTGGATTGCAGGTGAGACTCCCGTGAAAACCAGATTGGTATGCAAATGAGTGTTGTTTCGCTAATTTCGTGCGATTTGGTTTCAAGTAGAACATTAGGTTGACGGAAGCTCTGGAACTGCACCTACCTGATGAGTCCCAAGAAGGGCGAAACCGGTCTTGTGCTGTCGAAGAGTTTTCAGCAGCTTTGCGAGTAGTTTCCTTTGTCAAAATATACTGCGATATCTCGAATATCGTAACGAATGAAGCATGGGTCGGACTTTGTGTAGCATACTCAGTTGAAGAGAAGCATAAACGAGAGATTCACTTGAGTCTCCCATGAAAACCAGATAGACTTTGTCTGTTGTCTGCACAGCGGTGTCTAAACCTCACGTACCAGTGACTGTATGAGAAATATGTGGATGAATGCAACTTCCCTCTGACTTTGTAACCATTGAGTGGTCATACGTAAATATTCTGTGCACTGGTAGCGCTCCTGACCACCGTGAACTCAGGAAAAACCTGTATGAATTTCCCGTTCAGTAGAACATCCATCCCAAGCATGAAATCACGTTTTGTAGGCAAAGTACTAATTTTGTTTCCCAAAAATCGCAACAGCCACCGGCAATAGTAAGTAGACAGTTGGTAAGTGTACCAAAGAACCTTTATTTTCCTAAACAAGGTTACTTGGTATCTTTAGCATGGGATTTTTTGCTGGAAAACACTAAATATGACGTTTACTTACTCAGATACCTCTAGTAGTCTAGTTCCGGTGTGTGAGAATGCAGTTGGAGGGAGAAATACCGCACCAATCAGCCTCAAACTGATCCCGGAGGTAACACATCCAGAAGGCAACAATGTCACCGATTTCCGGTTATTACACAAGCATTATCCGAAATGCTATTGCAAGGATGGACTTGCTACTAAACCCGCTTAAGAGGATGCTATAGAACATTCTATGCGTACAGCGATCTGAACATTTGACAGCGGGTATGATTGTACAAAGTACACGGCTGGTCTAAATCGACCACATGAAGATCTTTGATGAGGAACCCCTAAATTATATATTGTGTGTGGAAGTACACGAATAACTGCCAACTAAATGGTGAGGTTTCTGACTGAATGATTTTGAATGCTGCAAATATTACCTGGGATGCTCAACGATGCAGTTGATATATATATATATATATATATATATATATATATTTTTCGTAGTACGTAGTCTATCTTTGGGGAAATCTTACAGTAAATTCTACCTGAAGGGAGAGTTTTCAGTAGAATTTCCTTTGTCATTGGCATCTTGCCCGTGGGACTGAAGAATTCCAAGATGGAAACAAAAGTACACATGTGAGTTGTATGTTAGATGAACCTTGAACGAGAGAATCGTCGTGAATTGCCTACATGTGTTTTGGGGATCTTTCGCAACCTGTGCTTGCAATCAATGCCCTCAGCAGTTCCAAAACTGGAATGAATCCATCAAATTAGTAGCCAAAACATGTGTCTGGCAGGTCACCGAAAGCCCACCGGTCAAAATCACTAGTTCACAAAAAGTTCCATGCAAAAATTAGAGGTATTCACGTCTTCCACCCATTATAGATATAGTAAAATGGGAACATCTGTGTTTTCTAGCAAATATACACTCATTTACAAACTAATTTGGTTTTTTGATAGACTCACCTGGAACCCAGCTGAATCTCTCGTTTGTGATGTTACAAGGCAAATGAATGTGCTGCACCAGGCTGCCTCATGTTTCATTCGCTACGGTATTCGAGATTTCGCGGTGCACGTAAGTATTTGTGGTGTACTACTCATAAGATTGCTGAAAATTCGTCGATAACCCACGACCGATTTCACACCCGAGAGGTACATCTGGGTTCCAGGTAAGTCTCTCGAAAAACCAAATTAGTTTGCAAGTAAGTATATCTTCGTTAATTTCGGGCAATTTGCTTTCAAGTAGAACATAGGGTTGACGGAAACTCACGCCTACCTGATGAGCCCCAAAAAGGGCGAAACCGGTCGACGGCTGTCGACGGATTTTCAGCAACCTTATGAGTAGTACGTCAAAAATATCTGTGATTTCTACTTTTGTTTGTAATTACTTTATGCGGCCCAGTTGATAACTGTCTACTTTTTGACTCATTTCAACTCAAGCTTCTACGGGTTATATATCTGTATGACCTTTGTGCGCTCTGATTTTTTGTGTGCTAGGTAGATGTTCTATTACGAACGTTAATCGTCTGGAGTTATTTTGGGTTGGTGCATCGGGTGACTTTTCCTAGAGTTTAAGCTGCTTCTCAGTTGCCCAAGTATATTTGTTTGGGCTTGAAATTGACCCGCTTACCTCAGTAGAAAAAATGTGGGCCAGGTTCAGTCATCATCTCTACTTATGGAGGTATTCAGTCGCTGTTTACGGCACTTGTGTTCTGAAAGACCATGCACCAAGTCGTGACAGAACAATTCAACTGGCAAAAGAGCCTCTTGTGTAATAATAAACATATTCTATGAAAATAAATTGAAGTAAATTACCTTATCACGAAAAGTACACTTATTCGAGGAACATCCTGCGATATTGCTTGCTGACTTTGCTTGAAGAAGCATTTAATCAATAAATGTGATGAAGCTCATCTCGACGTAGATGATAAAAGCGTAGTATGAGTTTGCTTTTCAACTTACCACTGCATAGTAAAAAAGCCTGAGAACTTGAGGGCAGGCTATCTGAAAGTAGTACACACAAACGTCCAATTATCGGACCGGCTACAAAAATAGCTTTTTGGTAGCGATCCAAAAGTGAAAGTTCGGCCATTCTTACGTGCTTGTCACAATACTGAACGATTATGCTGATCAGAGTGAGAATTTCTGTGGACAGACGGTTAGCCACTGGCGGCACAAAAAGCACAAGATCCTCTGAACGTCCCGTTGGCGCCAAATAAAAAGGAAATTTTTACATAGACTACTATCATTTGACTATGAATGGAATGCACCTTAGCCCGGAAATACCAATACCTTGCGTCATTTGTTAGTTTTATCGTATATTGATGCCAGTGAAATATGTAAATAAGAAGGAGAATTTTGTTTAATGTTACTGCGGGACTAGCAGGATTACTCTCAGTTTGAGCATCACGAATATCACAGGCTATTATTCACCGGCCAAACGGTTGGTAGCACAATCGTTCCTGGGCTGCTAAATGCGACAAGGAAGAGTAAAATCCGCATAAATCACCTGTGTTGGTACAGGTCATGAGGGAAGCCGGTAGGGGTTTCTGTTTTGCTGTGAATTTGGCGTCCAAAACCTTGTGGCGATAGAATGGCCCTCAAAGAATGACGTCCGGTAGCGCACTGAGTGCCAGCAACTGTTGCAGGATTCGGCCAGTAGCATATACATTTTTACCTTTTGTTGACCGAACTAACAGACGTTTTTGAAATAGCTTGATTAACTGCCGACATGGTAGTCGGTTGATCCCCAAACTGTCGTACAGCGGGCTGTGAACAAGAGCAATATAACATCAAAGCTTGACATTTGCGAACAAAACTTCACCAGAAGGTGATGTGAATAATTTCTCGGCCTCCGGTGACATTACTTCTTGATTCGGTGATCCGGTTGCCGAGCAAGCTTCGGACAACAAAACGCTTAATCCAGCTCAAAGCCCTTCGTACTCGACCTCCACAAATGATATTCCAAACAGATCCCGAAAAGTGTGCATGGTTTGTACTGTTAAAACTCGCGCGGGTGAACCTGAATTCCTTCCATGGTAAGAATGGTTGGTCGAGTCAAGTATGTGACACATCACGAGGGCC